GTATCGTCCGGATTTCGCAAAAAGAGTAATTACAATTGCGTTTCCGACGAAGAAAACGAATCTCGGGCTAACGAGAAACACTGCTGCTTCCCTGAAAATGTCCCCGGAGAGTTTCACAGAGGGGAAAGAGAGTTTGGAAATCAAGATTAGAAGAAAAAGCAGCTCGATCAGTCTGAACAAGCTCGTGAACGATCTTATTACTTGGAAATTCAAGATTCCTCTGGATTTCTCCATCTTCAAGTGTTGGAACTTAATTGGATCCATCAAGATGATTTCTTGCAAAAAGAAAAAAAACACAGGACAAAACAAGAAAAAGGACTTAAAGGGATCGTGGGAGTGATTTAGGTCACTCGAAAGAAGTGATATTTAGGGAAACGAAGTGAGAAGAAGCAGAGAGTTTTGCCATAAAGAGATTAAACAGAGGAAGAAGAACAATAGTCATGGTGAACATGGACCAGTTTGTGCAGTTATGTTTCATTAAGAAAAACAGAGGATTTAGGAATATTTATTTGCAGATCTCCGTTTTTGTTATATTTATTTTTTTACGTGTGTTTTTCTTGTAGGTGTTGAATTGAGTTGCTTAGGCTTCTTATATATAGACTATGAAAAATATCCATAATAATAACAAAAAGTTTATTTTAATATCTTTTCTTGCAATAAAATGTAGAAAATGCAGTTCTCCCAAGACTTTTTATTTTGGAAAAACATCTAAATAGTTTTTTATTTTTTACATTTAATTGTGAACAGCATTTGCTTGCTTTTGTTTTTACTTTATCCACAAAATTATTCTCAATGCTCCCAAAAGCTGTCCTTGCTATTTGTTCATCGCCCATGAGGTCATGACCAAATCACATCTTCTTCAATCATATATATTCCCTGATTTGTTTTCATCATTTATTCGATCTTTTCTTCATATAATGTTTTACATATATGTGCATCTTCTAGATGAATCTGAAGATGCTATTATAAAACTAATCAAAATTAATTCGAAAGACTAACGCCTAAATTTATCGGAAAATTTAACGCAAAAATGAAGGAAACTTTGTCTGGCCACCGCCAAATCACATCTTCTGCAATAACTTAATACTACTAAAATGTTGAGCTTTTCAATCCAAAGATGAAATAAAATAACAAATATTTAATCAAAACGTTTGCGTTTATAGATGCGTGCAAAACATTACATGAAGAAGCAGTTACTTAAAAAAGCCTTGTATCAAAGTGGAGAATACAAATGGAAACTGTCAAGTGTAGATCTTTAACAAACTAATTAAAGGTAAATAATGTAAAGAGTTCTTTCGAACAAAAGAAATGTTTCTTAATTCAAGAGTGACAAGAGTCCTACTATTTCTGATATCACTTATGTGAATACGTCAAATTACGTACACAAGCATGATCTAACAATATCTCTATGTCTAACAACGTACACATGCAACTGTAAAAACGATATAGATATGAATAGCGTTGTCGACAGAAAGTTTTGGTCGATAAGAAAAGGAAATTAACAGTCGTAACCTTATTTTCTTTTCTTTTTATCCCATATTTTGATACTCTTTTGGAAAAGGAAAAAACGCTCAAGCTGAAAGGCCACAATTAAACTAACCCCCAAAAAATCTGAAAGGCCATTATGGATGGATTTGGATATAAGAAGCTCTTTTTTAGTCTTTAGTTCTTTAATTTTGAGTTAATTGATGATCTAATGAATTTCTAACTCTTAAACTTTGAAACCCAAAACTCAAGTATATATCCTGTCTATTTAAAGCCTATATCTTGTTTCTGAGATAACAATGAAAAGAACAACAAAACTATATGCAATGGGTAAGAACAACAAAAAGTCAAACAGCATCATACTAAATATATTAGAAAGGATAAATCTCCATAAATTTATATTTGATTTGCATCATATACAAAGAAACTTATTTTGTTGACAAAAAAATAAAATTTACTTTAATATCCCACAAAATTATGTTTTTAAAACAAATTTTATTTTATGTATCCCACAAAAATATAAAAAAAAACATTAGAATGTACATTCCACAATTTATATATACAGATTTTGCCAATAGATTTATAGATTATCTTCTAGCAGAAAGCCCATTTGTAAATGTGGAACACTTGATGAGACTGATTTCCTTCTTCACTAAGACATGCTCAACATTATACACTTTTTCTGTTTTTTTTTGGGTCTCTCTCTCTCTTTAATAATTTATGAACTTTAACTTTGCTTTTCCGAAATATGAAAGACCCCATTTTGTAAAAACAATGCAATTAACTTTTCTTTTCTTTTTTTTTTTATAGTTTTTGAGTCACCTATTAAACTTTCCGTTATGGACATGACTGATTTTATGAAAGAAATTGAAAATTTCTGTGGTGGCTGGCTAAGTTGATAAAACTCTCCCTTTTCTTTAGATTATCCATTGGTTTCGTAGACTTTGTATCATCCAAAATTTTCTCTCCTTTTTTTCAGAATTCTGGCGCTTATGAAACTTTTCTTGAACACAATTTTAAATGTGAAAAGGTGGAACTAATATACGTATGGACCCCTCGTAAAGAAAAAGGTCATATAAAATTATTCATATGGTCCTTGAGCAAGTAGCTTTTATTTGATTCTAGAATATATGGTTCTACTGAAACAAATTATCTACATATTAGTCGCCTAATTCATTGTTAACTTACTCGATCCATAGTAATGAAAGATTTCTAAGTTTGATATATATTTTTCTAAGTGATTGATTGGTTGGGACTGTGACAATATGTTTTAGTTTTAAAATTGTGACTGCGATAAAATTGGCTGTAAAGTTATGGTTATGACTTATGACTTAGCCATATGGCGTACGTCTCGACGAATCAAGCACCTATACTGAATTTACTATCAATCGAAAACCAGCTTAATCGAAACATAAAAGATTATACTCTCACATTCTATCTCTTTTGCTCTAACCATATCTTGTGTAACTAACCCAAGTAACAAGTCCAGTTAAAAGGTCCAATGAGAGTAGAATCTTTTTTTTTTTTTTTTTTTAGCTAATAAACATGAGCCCAAATGATGAGTTCACCAATCATCATAGCATCACCTAGTACGATTTACAGTTTCTAGAACAAGACCTAGAACTAAGCCTAGCTTTAACAAGTAGTTTATGGATAACCTTGTTAAGTAGCGGTGTTGAAAAAAAAAACAAGTAAATATTAGAATGTCCCACATTGCTTGAGATTAAATCTTTGGATAGTATATAAAGGATGTGACAATTCTTAACTCTTAAGCTAGCTTTTGGGTTAAGTTAAGCTAGCTTTTGGGTTAAGTTAAGCCATATTCCTAATAGTAAATGAAATAAAATGGTGAGATGAATAATTGCATAAATCCTTTTAGATTTCCATTAGTCTTGCAAAATCACATGATGAACTTTAAAACACGACTTTACAAAAATGTGTGACTAGTAAAACCCATATGAAATCAAAGAGTCATTGTGGTTTGGTCCAAACTAGGCCTAATCCGAAATGTACAAAAACAAAAATATAAAATTTCAGACGGTATTTATTTAATTTATGAAACTAAAATAAAGTATATCCACGTGGCCGTGAGAGAAAAAAAAAAACTCATCATCCTCTAGGGTTTCAATTCCTTGTTCCAGTACTTGATCGTAGCGCCGCTCCTCTGTTGTCCAGACTCCAGCAGGTCCAATGGTGTGTGCTCTCTCACTCTCTCCACTATCTAATTCTCTCTCCTTCTTTGTCTGATGATCTTACTTACAGTGTCTTCTATGTCTGATTCTAGGCACCCAAGAAAGACAAAGTTCCTCCTCCGTCCTCTAAACCCGCCAAATCCGGTGGCGGCAAGCAAAAGAAAAAGGTCGCTTTTTTTCTTCTAAAAATCCCATCTTTTTTCTGGCAATTATCTATCTTGAACCATAGTTTGATCTGGGCATCTCATTATGATCCATTTTCCCCTGTTTTTGCTACACCAAATTTGATTGTTATTTGTTTGGATTGTAACAGAAGTGGAGCAAAGGAAAGCAAAAGGAGAAAGTGAACAACATGGTTTTGTTTGACCAAGCAACTTACGACAAGCTTCTCTCTGAGGCTCCCAAGTTCAAACTTATCACTCCTTCTATCCTCTCTGACCGTTTGAGGGTAAACCACTTTCTTTGATTTCTGAAAGTTGCAAACTTTTCTCTCATAGAATATGCATTGGTGACATATTAGCTTAGAATGTGTGTTAGTACTTCTTGATAGGTAACATCGAAAGGTCTTTACTTGATAGCTTTGGATTAAGACATATTTGCTTCTTTTCGATTATCGAGTGATTGTGTCGCGTATGATTCGAATAGTTTGTAATGAAGATTGTGGTGAAAAGAGTGTTTTTAATGATGCTTGAGTAGTGTAAGTAAATTCCCCTGATCAATTTTAGCATTTCATGTGCAAAGATATTTTATTTTATTGATACCTTGATGTCTTGTTTCTATGAGAAAGAACTCTTTAGTCTTTGGTGGTGCCTTAACGTTTTTTGATGTAAAACTCTGAATACACATGGCTTCTAGATTTCTACTCGTTTTGACATGAGCTTGTGTGTTGGTACAGATCAATGGATCGCTTGCTAGGAGGGCGATCAGAGAATTGATGGCTAAGGGAACGATCAGGATGGTCTCTGCTCACTCAAGTCAGCAGATCTACACTAGGGCAACCCACGGCTAACTTCCTTCGAATGTTTTAGTTGTTTATCTATCTTTTATCCAATGTCTTTATGAACCATTATCTTTCTAGAATGCACCTTTACTTGCAGACATTGGTCTATACTACTTAATCCTATGAGAATTTGGAGATAAAAAGATTGTTTTGGGCATTTTCAAAACATTGTTTGTAAACAAGGCTCTAGAAGTTTACTTATATGTCACACGGTAAAAATGATTACACCAGTAATGAGATTTGATACTTGAAGCTTTTGTAGACACAATTCCAAGTGTATCTGAAGTAGGTAGATTCTAGTTCTGTATTGTGTTCTGACACCAGCAAGATTGGCATGACAGAATTTGTTCACCTTAAATCCTCAGCATTCCAAACGAAGAGGGAGTTGGTCTTTCTACAGCCGGTCGGGTTTGTACCGCTCAGAGCCTTCCTCATCATTGCCATTGCTGCAATACTTGGAAACTGCTTCTCTAGCACAGTGCCCTTTGGGTTAACTTGTTGCCCTCCTCTTGGTTCATGAGTTTATGCAGCTTTTTGCTTACACCATCTCTGAATCCATGGGCTAACGTCTTCTCCTCCTCCCATATTCAGATTCTTGATTTGTGATGTGGAGGATTTTTGATATCTTCTGGATCCGGGTTTGTTGATTCCGAATATTCTGTGGAAGAAGTAGTTCACCTTCTTCCCCGATGATGGTCCTTCTTCGAAAACCATCATGCTCTTGGTTTCATTTCCGCTGATATCTGATGTGTTTGTCTTCAGACGTTTGACATGTGATCTACTGTTGGTTTCAGAGTCCGACCATATACGCTTGCACTCTCTGAGCAAGTTGGTGTTGAGAAAGTGTTCCACGTTCTTACTTTGCGTAGCTTGACTGCTTGCTTCTTCTTTGTCCCCATCTATCGAATTTTCTCTTTCAGCAACAATAGGCGGTTCTTTGTTCATGTCAGGTATTAAATCGACACTTTGAACAGCTGAATCAAGATTAGGAAATAGACTCAACCAGGACTCTGGAAGATGTCGACTCTTTCAATAGTTGACCATCTTCTGGTAAGTTAATCTCCTTGGCATCTCTGTTACTAGGAGTCCAACGACTCAACCAGGCAGATTCATGACCATGAACACAACTTTCTGTCTTAATCTTGCTTAAGCCCATAAAATGTTCAGACATTTGTACCTAAATCCTGGAAGAAGAAAAGGCAGTTGGACTTCATTAGGGAGTAGGGACATAAATCAAATATCTCAGTCACTCATCAGAAGGAACAAAACAAGTGTTCTTGGTTCATTTATGCTCAATGACCATGTCCATGTGTATCAAACTTCATTCAAATTTCATCATTCAACTGGTGGAATACCGTATAGTGTATATATAATATCTGCCTCAAATCCTATACAGTTTCGAATCTTGGCTCTCAAAATTACACCTAACCCCTGTCAATTGCACTTGCATTCATTTTTTCAGAAAGAGGGATCATTTTTTTTTGTACGGATACGAATCGATGGAGGCAAATAACAATGAGTAATCACATCTTGTTGTGGTCATTTCTATAATTTGTGATTTTCTTGTGGTGGTGTTTCTATATTTCAAGACATCGATGCTTGAACCTATGATCTTGATACCATGTAAACAGTTCACTGGATGTTTGCTTCTTTGAATCATCATCAGAACTTCAAAAGCAATGTCTTACACGATTAAGGTCCAAATTCAGATCAATAGGGTAAAGATAGTACTACATGAGAGACATTGGAAGTGTAAAGAGATCTCTGAAAAATGATAGTGATCCTTTTGCTATTTGGTTATAATTCTAGAGAAGAGTATTAAGAAACTCGCTCACGGTCATGTATTTGACATCAGGGTAAAGCTCAGTACCATTCACTCCACCACTAGACTCGATGTTGAAGTACGTGTGATCTCCTTTGATAAAGACAGAGTATATGAAGACCATCTCCATGTTATCCGGGTACGGAGTTTCTGCATCATTGAAATAGAAAGCTCAAGTTAAAAAATAAGTTTTGCAAATTGAAGGCAGATGTAGTAGATGTGCTGATAATGTTATGATGATGGACCTTGGATCTTCTTGAGAAGTTGATTCTCTGTAACAAATGTTTTCTCAAGCTTCTTCTCAATCTTGCCCTCCCAGAGCCCAACAAGATCATTCATAGAACATATGTTTTCGGGCGGTCTAAGGTACAAGGTTTTATTCAGTGTTCGAGGATCATCTATCGTTTTGATGGTAAATGCTGCAACATCGACATCATTCACGAACACAGCTATACACAAAACACACAGAAAAAGAAACACTCAATTTCCGACCACAAGATTGTCTATTGCAGAAACTACTTGTTAGTTATAAAATTGAACAAAAAGGGCAAACCTTTAACGCTCCCATCTCCAAAAACCGTGACTTTATCGATTGGAGGCGATTGAAGCCCCGGTTGCACAAGCGATGGAAGTAGAATTCTCATGAACAATCCGCAGCAAATGTATGTATATGGAATCCCCTCTGATTCTATCATACGCTTAATCTCACATTTCTTTGAATAGAACCCATGATCAAGATCGGAGATTTGAGTTTTATCAGGATTTGCTCCATATTCAGCAGGAATAAACCTCTGCAACAGTAATTAAACCATGTTCTGCTCTAGTAAGAGATCTATCCTCTCATCATCAACCAGAAGCAAATTCAAGAACCAGTTTCTGCTATACAAGAATCTAAAATGTGATTTATATGGCCACTATTTGATCAAATTGATATAACAAAGCAATGATTAAGATAAGAAGAGACCTTGATGGAACCAGCTTGTTTGATGACTTTGATAAGGAGTTTCTGATCAAGAACATGTTTTGATGGAATTGCAGAGATCACCACATCTACTTTACTCACTGCTTCTTCTAAGCTTCCTTCATCCTCCAATGAACCCTAAAATCCATAAAAACAAAATCCAAATCAAACCTAGCAAAAAAGCCAAAGACTTTCAGATTTGCGACATCCCCTATTGGGGAAATCACAGAAATTATGCAAAGGGAGAGACTTTGAGGAGGGTAACGCCGGCGTCGGAGAGAGATTTCAGCTTAGCGGAGGAAGTGGAGTTTCTGATGAGCGCGAAAGTCGGGTGACCCGACTCGATGCTGAAACGGGTCAAATAGTTCCCTAATCTTCCTGTTGCTCCGATGATCAAAACTCTGCTCTTCTTCTTCTCCTCCTCCATTTATAATACCTCTCCGTACAATTCGTGGTATAGAGGATTAGATTAGGGTTCCTTTTTAGTTCCAATGGGTTGTTCATAGGTTTTTAATCTCACTAAGTTCTCTTACAATGTACTTGACAAAACCAAACACATCACCGTTTTGTCCGCGAGAAATTGTCTCGTGAGTCCCTTTTTGTCCAAGCATCGTCTCATATCTCCCCTAATAAAACACAATTTTATTTTTATTTAAAATTAAATCGAAAACTATGGATATTACTGATATACCCCAACCAAAACCTCAATATTACTGCTAAAACCTGGATCTATTCGAACCAGACCCGATCCATTCTCTCAACCCACCAAATTTCTTTTGTTTTTGAAATCGAAAACGAGAAAACTCATCCCCAATTCAAAGAGAAAACCCTAACCGTTGGAGATTCTCTTGCTCCGACTTCCTCTCCTCTTCAAATCTTCCCAGAAATTGTAGTTGAGAGATTGCGAAATCATCTTCCAACTTTATTGATTCCTTTTCTCGTTTCTTGTATCCCGTTTCGAAACCTCTCCGATAATGCCTCCAAAGAAAGGGTTAAAGAGGAAGAGATTAACAAAGGCAACGGTGGAGCCAGGCTCGACGGAGGAGCCATCCCCGACGGTGGAGCCATCCACCACAACGACGGTGGAGCCAGGCTCGACGGAGGAGCCATCCCCGACGGTGGAGCCATCCACCACAACGACGGTGGAGCCAGGCTCGACGGAGGAGCCATCCCCGACGGCAATTGAGGGAGAACAACAAGTCCCAGAGACATTAAGTCCGGTTTTAGAAGAGTCTGACAAGAATGAGGAAGAAAATTCAAAGAAGAATGAGGAAGAAGAGAGTGGCGAAGAAGAGAGCGAAGAAGAAGAGAAAGAAGAAGAGAAAGAAGAAGAAGGGAATGAGGAAGGAGAGGAGTCCTCCGATGATGATGGTAGTAGATCTTTGGGCGGAGAGTCCTCCTCTGATGAGAATGATAATGAGGAGGATGAGATTGCGCCAGAAAATCAGCCGGAAAATGCGATGGTAAGTATTTGAATGGTGTGAAACTGGTAGAACAGGGTAAAACTATGTGTATATCTGGGTACTACTGGTAGAACAGGGTAAAACTATTGCAACTGAGGTATAATGTGTGTTTGAATTCTATGGTTATTGGTATAACTGGTAGAACTGGGAATACTATGTGTTTGAATTCTGGGTATAACTGGTAATACTAGGGCATTACTATATGTTTGATTTCTGGGTAATACTGGTATTACTAGGGTATAACTATGTGTTTGAATTCTGGGTGAAACTGGTATTACTGGGGTACAACTATGTGTATATTTTCAGGGTAATACTGGTAATACTCGTAATACTATTCGCAGAATAATGATATATGGATGAATGTCTATTCTGTTGCAGGAGATCGACGAGGAAACAATAGCAATACCACCGCTGAGTATGTATTTCCCGCCTTCAGAATATGTGAAGAAAATCAAGCTATCAACTCGGTGCTATATTCACGAAGTGTTGACTACATTCGATGAGTTGGAGCCTCCGATGAGCAAGTCTGAGAGGGCATTTTTTGAGAATCATCCGAGTTTTCAACACGTCTTCCACATGCCAAGAGACCCACAAGTCACCAAGATGACGACTCGGAGCAAGAGACAGCTTGGTTGACTGATTTGTCTCTTTGATGTTTGGATTTGAACTTGGATTTGTTATGTTAATTGTTTTGGATTTGTTATGTTAGGATTTGAATTTGGATTTGTCTTGTTAGGATTTTAATTTGGATTTGTTAAGTTAGTTTTATAAATTTAATTAAGGAATACGGGTAAAACAGCTATTACTAATTAAGAAATACGGGTAAAACTAGTAATACTGATAATGGTAATACTGGTAATACTAGTAAAACTGGTATTACTAATTAAGGAATACGTGTAAAACTAGTAATACTGATAATGGTAATAAGCTTACAAAGTATAGGAAAGTCTCACAAATCATAGAAAAGTCTTACAAAGCATAGACAAGTCTTACAAAGCAAAAAATAAGCTTATACATTAGTGAGCGGCTAACTCCGAACGCATTTCTCCACTAGATGAGCGACTAACTCCTTCAGTTTTTGGATCTCCTTACCATTACCTTTCAACTCCGAACGCATTTCTTCTTGATAGTACTCCAAGCTTTGAATCTTTTTGTGATGGGTATCAACCTCCTCCCTTAAGTTAGTCACCTCTTCTTCCATAGCTTTATCCCAAAGTTTCCGAATGTGTAAACCATCATTCTACAGTACAAGAATTCTATATCGAGATCAATTATTCAACATACATCTGGGTAATACTAGTGTAACTAGTAATACTACATACATCTGAGTAATACTAGTGTAGCTAGTAATACTACATGTTTACGGGTAATACTAGCCTAACTAGTAATACTACATACATCTGGGTTCTCAGAGATCTACCAGTTCAACAAGTTCTACCAGTTTTACTTTCGGGTCAATAATGATACTATCTATTTACCTTATACACGTTGCATTGATAGTATCTCTTCCCTTTGTCACCATCGTTCTCAGAGATCTTGTCGAGGATGCGTCCACCACAAGGACATCTATTCGGAATTCCTTCCATCATTCCGACTTCTTCTAATTGATCATAAATCTTCTTAGCGTTCTTCATCTCATCATACCATGGATCTCTCTCACACAATCGATCCATAATTGAAAAAGAGAGAAAGATTGAAGAGAAGGAAAAAGTTGGATCTCGTTTTCTTGAGCTTGGAGAGAGAGAGAGAGTAAATTGAGAGATAGAGAGAGAGAGGAGAAGTCTCGATTGTGAATTAGAAGTGGAGAAAAAAAGAATTTTAGTTATTTGTTTTTGTTGATTTTGGGTTTAATTGATTTTGGGGGGAAAAATTGGAGGGAAAAAAAATTTGGGGGGAGAAATTGGAATTATATGCCCACGTGTGCGCACTCAAACCCACGTGTGCGCAGTCAAATCCACGTGTGCGCAGTCTTTGTGACATGTGCGCCGTTTTTTTTAACATAGTTGTACCCTAGTTTTCAGTTGTACAAATTGTCCACATAGTTTTACTTTTGGTGTTTTCAAATTTAACCAGTATTACACATCCTTAAAAATGATTTATCTAGTTGTACACTTGAGGAAACTCTATTATTATTGAATTCTAAAGGTTTAATGTAATAAAATGTTAAAAATATATAAAATTGTAAAATATCAATCCTAAATTGGAGTTTATATCAAAAGTGAGCTTAAAAGTATAAGGAATATGTTGGATGTAGTCTCATAAAACAATCTTACATGAAAATATTTTTTTTTCCCTATTCTTACTTCGTTTTAAATCATTTGTAAGAGTTTATTATCACTTAATAGTCTATGTTATAGTTGGTGTTGAAAAAATTAGAAATATCAAATTTCATAATTTTCTTCAGTAGTTATACTAGTTATACCAGTGTTACCTAATTTTTTCATTAGTAATACCTGTTATACTAGTATTACCCTTACGCCAGTGAATTAAAACCTAGTATTACAGGAGGCAAATCTAGTGTTACATAGTTGTACAACGCAAATATGGTTTACAAATCATCAAGTTCAGATAAAATCAAATACTATGGTTGCCAAATAACAACCATTGCAGCGATTGCCTCGGCCTCCTTTTGTTTTGAGTCCTTTGACGTTTTGGACGCCTTTCCCCGGTGGATGGAAGCCTCAATACTTTTGTTCTACCCTTCTTCTTTTTACGAGGCAGAGGTAATACCTTCAACGCTTTGATCTCATCTGGGATATCCCACTGTGACTTATCCGGGATCAGTCCAATACCGTCTTCCCATTCTTTTTTAAACTGACCAGCTTCTACAACAGGCGGTGGCTCAACGTATTCATCACCCCTATCATCACATCTATCCATAGATTCATCACGTGATCCAATCTCAGGATCTTGAGTATCATCAACCTCCATTATTGCCTCATTTGGTACTATTCCTTGTTCCTCCTCGCATTCGCACAAAACGATGGCAGCACTATCTCTCATTTCATCCTCATTTGAATCCAATTCCACATAGTTCTTACCAACAGAACTTTTATTGAGGAGCTCCACTCTCGACAGTTGCTCGGGCAATTCTGGTGGAGTGATGACGTCCACATTCAAAACATATCTACGGTAATTTTCACCTGAAGATATATAGACACCTACATCCTCATCATCACTAATGTAAATCTCTTCAGTTGGTCCCATCAGCACAGCATTGTATCTCATTTGCAATTTAACCTTACTTTCATCTAATCCAAGCTTCGTGCATATCCTACCTTCTAACATGGAGAGCGTTATTTTCCCCTCCGATGTATTCATCATCAAGCTATACATGCGACCTTTGCATTTAAAATATATGATCACGTTCTCCATCATTGTATCCTGCAAAAACAATACAAAAACTCTGTCAGTTATACTAGTTGTACTAGTTGTACTACAATTCAGGGTAATACTAGTATAACTAGTCATACTACATGTAAATGGGTAATACTAGTGTAACTGGTGATACTACATGTAAATGGGTAATACTAGTGTAACTAGTCATACTACATACATCTAGGTAATACTAATATAACCAGTAATACTACGTATATATTTTTCAATAGATTCAGGTACAATTCTACCCAGTTCTACCAGTTGTACTTTCGCGACAAGAACTCAAATCGAATGGTTTCGGGTTCAAAACTACAATTCACTATGATTCAGTTGCTGTAATCCATTTCTTACCCATTTACAGACCTATTCGACCCAGAAACTATGCATAAACTTCCAATGTGCATATCCAAACACAATTTGCTTAATCTCAAATCTAATTGAATTGAATCTCCTACATTTCTAAATCAAAAACTTCAATTTGAAACTCTATGCAGCTCGAACAACATACATTTTCTCTCTATCTCGACGCAGCTCGCCGGAGGAGAGGATAGGGCTGCAATGGCGACTCAAATCGAATTTTCCGGCGAGGAGAGCTCGAGCTCGCGTTCTTCTCCGCGTTCTCACGTTTTTTTTTTTTTTTTTTTTTCATTTCACAAAATTAATTAATTAAAATGAGGAAAAAAGAAAAAGAAAGGGTAAAATCGTCAGATCACATTTCATTAATTGGGAAGGGGATATGTAGACATAAAAGGGATATAAGAGGTTTATGATTTACAAAAGGGGAATTATGAGACATTTTCTCTTTTGTCCGCCACGCTTCTTCACTAACAGGTTTGTTTATTCATTTGCTTTAAATTTGTGGTTATTCCCGATTTTTCTAAGTAACCAAAACATAGATTAGAAAATGTTTAGTGATAATGGAATTGCTAGAAGATGTAAAACATAACGTTTGTTTCATGGTGGCATAGAGGACTTGTGGCATTGTATAAAAAAATAAAATCCTACGGATGATCATTGACCACAAGGAAATGAGAACACACCTTGAAAGACTACGTCCACTGGTAAGAAATATATAACTGGTTTGCAATTTATACACTCTTTAATTTGATACATAAAATAATGGGCGGGAAATCTCAAGTCAATAATCTAGGGAAATTAGTAAATAACAGCTATAAGTTTGCTCTCTCTTCTCTTCCGATGAATAATTTGAATTAGGGAACATTGTTAAGTTGTGAATCGTTGTTCTTAATCAAACTCCTAAACTCCCATAAAGATTCTGCACATAAGAGTCCCACATTGAAGGAGCTTGGCCATTCTGTAACATAATCAAACATATATGACAAAATATTATTAAACCAAACTTAAATTAAATGATAGATCATAATGACAGAGTACTTAAAATATGACGTACGTTGAAGCATGACAGTGGATCAGAACTGGTTTCCGCTTGCTGCATTGGATTGACATGATGATAACCGGAATTAACCATCTCATTGGAATAGCCGGAATTAACCATCTCATGAGAATAACCGGAGTGAACCATTTCAGGAGATGGCACCACAGTCATTGGAGTTGAGACAATTACCTGGTTTTGAAATTCACATGGCCTATTTTAGTTCATCTAATTAACCTTTAAAGTTAAGCTTTTTAATATAAACACAAACAAATCAATGACTAACCTCTTTGTCAAAAATGTCATCCATATCAAAATCCGGCCTTGGATTCACAACTGCTAGCTTCATCGATAAGAACTGTTTTAAACAAAACACATACATTATTAGGAAGGTAATGCAAAATTAGAGTATTAAAAACATATTTTCTACTAATGGAAATGAATTCTCAGACCTCAATTTGTCTCTGAAGAGACTGAACATAGTTAATGATTTCATCAAGCATCCCTGCTTTGCCTGTAATCTTGTCGCATCCAGGAACCAAATCTTGTAGAAACTTCATTCTCTCACTAATCTTTTCTCTTCTAACCTTCACAAATTTAATACTTAATAATTAGTCTCAATGATTACAAAAAAAAACAAGGTCGAGTCTTAATATTGAATTTTAGTCAATGAGTCTCACTCACTCGTTCTGCTATGCTGTGACTATCAGTGGCTTGACCTCGTCGTGCACGAACATGAATATAATCCGTTTTCTCCAATTCCTTCGTCACTTTAGATGAATCGTTAGAGCAATTGTTCTCTTCTTTCTTGGCTTTGTTTTTCATCTTCTTGATGCTTTTTGGGCTCCCATTGTTTAGCTCTGTTATTTTCGACTTTTCTTCTTCTTCTTCTGTTACTTCTTCTCTGTTCATCTTCTTCTTCTTCTCATTACGATCCTAAAAGCACACACAGAAGAAACAGATAAGTGAAATCTCAAAGTAAGATCTGTTTACTTATTCGTTTATAGAACTCAAACTTAGGTTTCAAGAACAGAGTTTTACATACGAACCTTAGTCTCTGTATCAAACTTCCTTTTCTTGAAATTTCCAGTCCCAAGCGTAGTTTCTGGGGAAATGGACATTCTTGGATCACCTTCCACCGTCGTCTCCCCGTAAATCATCGGAAGATTCAAACCGGCAGTCGCAAGATAGCCGTCCATCTCGCCGCCGTTAATCATTGATGAATCGGCAAAGAAGCCGGCGAGAGGAGAATCAAAGCTGGGATTGAAATACTTGAGGTGAGCCCTTTGGCGCTCTAGGACCGACATGTCCGTGCAATTGAGTAAAAGGTCACCTCCTATAGCTCCATTCATCGTTATCTTCTTCTTCTTCTTCTTCTTCTTCTTGAGAAAACAAATTGCTTGCAGTGAGAAAGAAACAGAGTAAAGGTGAGGGTAGAAGAGGAAACGATATTTATAACAAAAACCATCAGCTATTTACTTAGTCCATATTCATCGCATCAAATAAAGTAGGCCCAGATACAAATCTGGAAACTTTAGATGTTTGGAGATAATTGAGATTGAAAAAATGAGAAAACAACTAAAAATCGTGACATAAAAAAAAAAAAATTAAGAAATAATTAATAATCGTTTTTAATAAAACATTTATTACGTAATATATGCATGTATATTGGATCTTGATTCACTAAGTTGGGGATAAGTTGGGGATGTCTATTCGAATTGAAGCGTCTTCTTCTTTAGGTTTCTAACTTTCTTTCATTAAAGGAGCACGTGAACTTCACGTGGGACTGGTTTTGCTGTTGTTAGGTTGTATAACACAAATGAAAAATTGAAAATCATTTTCAAGTTTGGCATAATCTTAATTATGTTTTTTTTTTTTTTTTCGACTGAATGATTACCATAGAATAAACCAAGGAGAATTACAAGGTGGAATACAATTTGAAACACAGGACCGATACTTTTTTTCTTTAAGACCGCATGACTTCCGACGTCCGCCTAGACGCTATTAAACGTCGACGGGGTTCTTGTAAACATCGATCGGAGTTTTTGTAAACGTCTCGGACCATGACCATCATCTACTGTCCATACGCGGCTTATAGGAGTATCTAGTTGGTATTTTAGAACATTGTCTCGTATAGTCTTTATATCTTCGAAGCTAAGTAAAAATGAAATCCATTACCCCTATATATGAATCAGATTGGTGCGCTAGATATTTCAGCTCAATGGGGTAACAAAGCAAACACTTTACCTCATTTTTCAATAACTCCGGTCTTAATTTAGCTAGCTACGACGCACTGTTCACATGAATTTATTACAGATATACTTCGAAATCTTGTTATTCAGATCGATCATGTGTCTGATCGCCATGCTGTATATATTGGCTTACTACTCTATCGTGATAGGCTAATACTGAGACGGCGCAAGACAGACTGCCACGTGATCGCCATGCTCTTTGTATGCAGAAGGCCCATCACATAAATTACTCACAAGTTAGTTTTAGTCTTAGATCACTTTCACCGATTTCGGTGAGCAAATATCTCGAAGAAAAGGACCTCATCTCCATTAAAGTATGGCATTGTTTTAGATTCTCAAATATGTTTCCATTTATCCGACTTTTTATTTAAGTTATTGGAAAACCCTTTATGTGATTGATATAGGACATGATCTTCTCGAGTCTACAATAAAAATCCAACTCTCTTTCTTTTGCTTAGTGCAATAATATATTTATTAAGCTTTTAAAGCATATATATGGAGTTAGTAGATAAGGAAAGGGGAGGGTGTAAAGTTGTTAGAAATCAAGAAATGGTCGTTTGCTTTTTGATGTGATGAATTTGGACTAAGTCCATAGAAGATGATCGGCTATTCCCCTATCATACTATACATGCATACACTATAAAAGTAATGCCACACACCTAATTTGTGGGTTCCCCATCCCCTTGTATATATGTTCATAAATTCATTTCGACATGTATATATGTAGATGTTGACACTTGATTCGGGGTGTTAAGTTGGAGATAATTATATTAAATATATATTCACTATACAAAAGTATAGATATATATACACACATATAGCCAATTTCTTTCATTAAACTGGAGAATTGATCTCTGCACGTATATGTATCTAACTATCTATTTTTAAGTGTTGTTAGTTGTTACTATAACATATCTATATAAACATGTATATTAATTAATTTGTATATGGGGGAGTTCTTAATTAGAATTAGAAACATATCATCGATGTAGAAATTTATAGATGGAACCATAATGAGGGGAGATCCAATGGTCATGACTCATGATCACATGATGGGATCCTAATTCCTACATCTCTTCTATATGATGGGTTATATATTCTCCATATATGCATATGGGGGAATTAGACGTATATATAAAGAAGAGTTTTTTTTTTTTTTTTGGTTTAAAATAAAGAAGAGTTGTGAAGTTTATAAACTTGCATGTATTTTAAAAATATACAGTTTTCTTAAGAAGTTTTTTTTTTTTTGGTGGGAAGAAGTTTTTTTTTTGTCAAAAGAAGAAGTGTTTTATCTCTTTAACATCCAAGAAGTGTTTATATTTTATTATTTTCTATGAAAATATACATAATATCTTATAATGTATTGTTATTAGTTATTATTCTATAAATGATTTAATAATAAAATAAAAGATTTCATGTTGCAAAAAGTAAGGAAAAAAAGCATGTTTTGAAAGCTTCATTTGAAATAAACAGATAAGGTGAGTTTTAGCCAAAAAAAAAAAAAAAGAAAGAAAGAAAAGATAATAGTATGAGTGTTTTTTGTCTGATGTAGGCTCATCGGGGACTGCTCCAACTCCCTGACAGTTATCATTTTTCATTATTCAACTATCAATTGAATTATATGGGCTTCCCTACTTTTGTTTGTACCTAAACAATTCAAAATCATACAGAAACTAAAATATGCATTTATATATTTAAATCTAAACTACAGGAATGTAAGAGCATGATTATTGGTAGTATCTTAGAAATAAATCTTAGGAATATTGGTAATATATTTAAGTAGTATTTTTGGTTAAGATTTTTGTGTGATTAATGGTAGGTTCTTAACATGTGGTTCTTATAAAAAAAAAATATTAATATAAAAATAAAATTTATAATTATAGAAAATTTAATAATTGTTGCAAATTAAAAAAATTAAAACAATACATAGATACAATTTATAACATAAATAACATAAAACACAAAAAAAAAAATTCTTCTTTTGTTTGATTTTTTAACCAATCACAATGTGACACCTTGCAACATCTTAAGTTAAGAAAAACATCTTAACTTAGATACAAATCTTAACTTTAAGATGTTGGTTTGATTATTTTTAATCAACTTTAATCCTAAGATTTGTCTAAGATACTCAACATTTCAACCAATATTCATGCTCTAACAAACAATTCCTGTAGTTCTTTAACAATAACCTAGGCGGCAGACACTATACAGAGCTAGATGACTCAACAAACAATCAAAAACCTCTAGAAAAACCAATGTTGTGTTTTTTCAAACACATTCTAGTATTAGTTGTTATATAAGTTGGAATGTAGAAAACGGTGATTGCACTGATTGGTTAGAGAACTTGGAAACAGAAACAAAGGTGACTGAGTTCTAACTTCTAAGTTAGGTAATTAAACAGTCCACAACGTCGTTAGCTATTATATTCTATTTAGTGAGCTATTTAAGATAAAAGGCATAAATCGATATGCTTACAACAATCTGTTTGCTTATAGCTTGGATCAAATCCTTAATTAGAGAATATGAGTGGCTATTTATAGACTTACATTTCGTTAAATTTTTTATCAAAACTAAAAATGTTTTGGTTTTTAAAGGTGATGTTGTAAAAGATATCTTGTAAACCAAAAGGGGAAGCAGTTTACCTGTTAGTCCAGTAATAGGCGATCTGGCTATCCCTGACTTTAGTCGGAAAGCATTCCAAACTCGGGACAGACAATGTGGTGGTCCTTCGGGGAGTAGTCAACTCTGAAGCACTTCGGTGCGTTTCTACCGAGGCTAACCGGATCAGCCGATAGGATTTATCAAAAAAAAAAAAAAAAAAAAAAAACCTAAACTCAAACGCTTAAATTAAAATTGCGTTTGAAACAATAGAAGAATGAAACTTCTTTATTTATAACGAAAAAGAGAGAACATCGTAAACATCTAATCATAACCAAGAAAAGACAAATTAAAGTAAACGTTGGCACTCGGATACATCAAATTAGGACCGACCGTTTTGGACATGAGTCTCTGACTTTGACAAATCAGAATCAATTTTAGCCGGATATCTATCGATGCAATGTTGCCAAGGACTATTTGCCGAAGGCTTGACATTGCGTAGAGCCACCCAAACCGCACTATTACACTTAAACCCTGATCCTAAAGCAATCTGCCAAGCTTTATTCCCTTTCTTCATTCTTCCTTTTGCCTCTATGTATGCCAATTCATACCAAATTGAGCTAGACGACGTATTCCCAAATCTATGTAACGTTGATCTAGATGCCTCCACGTCGATCGGTGATAGTCCTAAGCTCTTCTCTAGCTCATCGATCACGGCTCTGCCTCCGGCATGAATACAGAAATGGTCAATAGCAAGCTTAAAATCCGGGACATAGTAATGCTTGATTCTGTCCTTTAAAAGTTTCTTGGCGACGAAGGTAACGAAAAAAAGAAATTTCTCGCTTAAAGGAAGAATCAACGGACCCAATGTTGCTATGTTTTTCTTTAGCGTTGTCCCCGCAACATTGGTTATGTCCTTTGACAGACAAACACCGATTTTACCACTCTCATCGTCTTCTTGTTGCACACATCGAAAAGACTTGTCATCAGCTCCCGTATGGGTTCGAACCGTGTGAGCTAGCTTGTACTTGGACCGTCTCCGATCTCTAGGCTTGTTGGAGAGCAAAATCGCGGCCCCACCAACACGGAACAAGCAATTGCTAACCATCATTGATCTATTTTCGCCAGCATAAATCCCTTGAGTGATGTTCTCAGTGCTCACCACAAGAGCATAAGTGTTTTTATGAACATGCAACAAGTCCTTCGCAAGATCAATGGCGATAACACCAGCACTACAACCCATTCCTCCAAGATTAAAGCTTTTGATGTTGCTTCGGAGCTTGAAAGTATTAACGACCATCGCGGAAAGCGAAGGAGTTGGATTAAACATGCTTGAGTTCACCACAAGTATACCAATCTCTCTAGGGTTAACTTTGGTGTTCTGGAATAGATTTTCGAGCGCACCAATGATAACCTGCTCTGTCTCTTCACGTGCCGCTGCAAAAGTCTTCCGTGGGGGCACGTGAAGGAGTCCCTCGGGACCGTAGGTCTCATCACCTAGACCTGAACGCTCTTGAATCTTCCTCAGGAAATCAAGCGAGGACGGATCATCGCATGCCACGTTCCGTGAAGTATCAGCTTTTCTTATTTGATAGAAAACATCCATGACTCTGGAGACACTGGCTCTGAGATGCGGTGGTGGAAGGTAGCACGAGTAGTCAACGAGATAAACCGGTTTGGGTCGGGTTACCATGTAGAGAACAAAACCAAAGACAGTGAAAGCAAAGAGTATAGCTACGGTTATAAGGTTGTGTTGGAGATAGGAAAAGAAGTTGTGGAGATCGTTTGTGGTATGCCGAGAGGCTTTTCCGGCGACGAACGCCGTTAACGGGAACAAACAGAGGTTGAAAAAGTTGGTTAAGACGTAATGGTAAAGGAGCTTAACGTTAACGGACGTCATTGCTCTGTTTGTGTCGGAAAATAATGGAGTAAACGATGAGATGTATTTGTATGGATCCTCTTTTGTGGTCCGTTACGTTTTACAAGCATGCATTTAGACATGTGTATACTCAAACTCATGCATGCATACACATTGTAATAAAGTACTAGTCCACTGAAAGTTGCCAAAATAGCAAAATAGTATTACAAATATATATATATATATACTAAATTCATATATTTCGATACAAATTTCGTTTTTTTAAATTAAATAAAATATATAAACATAGTCTTTTTTTTAACGTCATTATAAAAAGTCTATAAATAATACTATATATTATTATAAAAAAACTTTCACTAAAATATTTTATTTTTAAATGGTGCTTAACTATGATTACATGTGTATTAAAAAATTTTTTGCGTGCACCAAAAAAAAAAAAAGTGTATTATAAATTTAAGGGAATGTGTGTTCTTAGATCTGATTGGCATAGCCTCTGACTAATTATGGGATCATGAGTATTTCTTGGGAATAAGTTTATTGGCAAGTCTATTCTCGAACCTCAGTAATTAAATGAGTGGAAGTTTAGTTAAGGCCAAATATATAGTCTAAAATAGATTATCTTCATACAGCTAGGATTGAATCTTTTTTTTTTTTTTTTGGTGTAAGCTAGGATTGAATCTTAAGAGACTCTAAATTTACAATCACACCCTAGATCACTTGCTAATGCATATCAAATTATATGGATACAGAATTTTTATTGATTTAAACCTAAGAGGATAAAGAGCAATCTCTACCATCGCCTCATCCAGCAAGTGACCTTTGTATTTTGCAGTTCTCTCTGTTTTAATATCTCATGGCATGGATCTTTCATCTGCAATTTAAAAACCATTCTAGGTAATTTATATGCTACATTTATGTACAACACTTATACATACATTACCCAATTGAGTAACAAAGCTCAACTGATTTCTTTACCCATTAGTAGAAATATAAGAGAAAGTCTTCTGCTAAATGGAGGATTAACCATGTTTGCAGACCAAATCTACCCGTTCTGATGAGTTCAAAGATCGATCTTAACCGGATATCTATGGATGCAATGTTCCCAAGGATTGTTAACCGAGGGCTTGACATCGCGAAGAGCCACCCAAACTGCGCTGTTACACTTAAACCCGCTTCCAAAAGCAATCTGCCAAACCCTGTTCCCTTTCCTCATTCTTCCTTTAGCTTCCGTGTACGCCAATTCATACCATATAGAGCTAGAGGAAGTGTTTCCAAATCTATGCAATGTCATTCTAGACGCCTCGACATGTTTTGGCGAAAGCTTTAAATTCTTCTCTAGCTCATCGATCACGGCTCTACCTCCCGCGTGAATACAGAAATGATCAAATGCAAGCTTGAAATCCGGTATGTAAGGCTTCTTCTCCTTGACATTGAAAAATCTCTTAGCAACAAAAGCCGCAAAGAACAGAATCTGCTCGCTTATAGGAAGAACCAGAGGACCCAACGTAGTGATATTCGTCTTTAAAGCTTCTCCGGCTATAGCCATAAGATCTTTAGACAAAGAAACTCCGGTTTTCAAACACTCATCTTGTTCTTGGTACACACACTTAAATGCTTTCTCATCAGATCCTTTATGAGTCCTCACCGTATGAACAAGCTTATACTTGGATCGTTTTCGATCCAAAGGCTTGTTCGAAAGCAGAACCGCGGATCCACCAACTCTAAACAAGCAATTAGGGATCAACATTGCTTTGTTGTTACCAAAATACCAGTTCTGAGTGATGTTCTCAGTACTAACCACAAGAGCAAAAGTGTTCCTATGGATTTGTAACATGTCACTGGCGAGATCAATAGCGATAACACCAGCACTACATCCCATTCCTCCAAGGTTAAAGCTCTTGATGTTCACTCTAAGCTTATACTTGTTAACAATCATGGCGGATAAAGAAGGCGTAGGGTTAAACAAACTACAATTCACAACAAGAACACCAATCTCCCTAGGATTGATTTTGGTATTCTCGAAGAGACTGTCGAGTGCACCGAAGATTACCTGCTCTGCTTCTTCACGCGCCGCAGCCATAGTCGGACGCGGAGGAATACAGTGAATAGACTCCGGTAAATAAGTCTCTTCACCGAGACCGGACCGAATCAAGATCTTCCTCTGGAACTCAAGAGAAGATTCGCTGAAATCTTGAATCAAGCTAGAATTATTCATGAATGTCTGGTAGCTAACTTTTTGATTCGACGGCGGGAGGTAGCAGGAGTAATCAAGGAGGTAAATGGATCTAGGTCGAGACATGAAGAAGACAATGGACCCTAATATAGCGAAGGCGATGATGAAGATGAATCCGGTGGAATTGTAATGGAGCTGGAGCTGGTTTAGGCTTAATAAGGAGACATTCATGAACAAAACCGCCATGAAAGGGATCAATAAAAGCTTCAAAAAGTGAGTGAGCAGATAGTGATAACCAAGCTTGACGTAGTGTTGGGACCGGATCTGTACGGGTCCTCCATTAGCGTCCATGGACGATATTTGCTGATGATACTGGTGAGAAACTTAAGCTGGATTTGTGTGCGTATATATAGACACTGAGAGAGAGAGAGATGAAGAGAAGAAGAAATCGTAAGGGGATGTGTTTATAGACACCATTTTTTTTTCTCCAGGTTGGGTGGGAGTTTGATATAACTAAAAAACAGAGAGAAGTCGCCATTGATGTATTTGGCATCATGTGTATCGGCCAACTAATGGAAGGCGTAAGCAGGAAAAGTGATGAACAAGCTTTTGGTTTTCCAGATTTTTATGGAAAAACAAACAGAGTAGATTTGAATCGATTTCGAATTTCCAAATTTATAGGGAAAAAAAAGGAATCTTAACGATAATGGACCTGAAAATGGGCTTGGGCTATAGGTCCAATTGTTTTTCTACTGATCTTCTGCTTTGGAAATCAGTCACAAGTCAAAGAATTGGCCCATTATAATGTAACCTAAGTTTGACTATTTTCTTTTTTTAAGAAAATAGAGTTTAGAAGCAAATATAGAGGTGGGTTGGAGATGCTTTTATACAACTCCAAACTCTACTCTCGCGTAAATTTTTAAGATCCCAAAGAAAAAGTATAGTATTATTGTCCAATAACATGTCGGAAGCACCAACATTATCTGCTAAAATATTATTTAACTAATTTCGATTACCAACGGCGTAGGATTTAATGCAAATCCAGCTATTTTACAGAACCTCATTATTCTTACAAAATTCTCTATTTCAGTAAAACCAAATTATAGTTAGACTATCATTAACAACTAGACATTAATGTGTATATAGATAGTAACACAACACTAGCGTACCATGTACTCGTTTGGTGGCATTATCGTAATAAAACACTAATCGCATGCCTTAAATAAGAAAAGCACTCTCAATTTCTACCCGTTGCGCTCTCGTCTTGTCTCTCTCATATTTTTGTTTGTTTGCTCCTAACGTTTCTCTTTCTTCGAACAATCTCCAGAAAACCAAACTATCCCGTCCGGAGAGAAGTGAATTTGAGTTTTCTCTACTCGTGTCACGCGATGTCGGACTCTGGTGGTGGTGGTTCTCACAAGTCCTCCGCAACAAAATCTTCCATTTTCGGACTAAACCTCTACTTAGTCATCGCGATTTGTTCTGTTTTCATACTCTTGATCTCACTCTTGATCTTCCTATTCGTCTGCTTGAATCGCGTTTCACGCGCTCGTAAAATGCGCGTGAAACACAGCTCCGGCTCGATCCCTCTCGTCTCTAAAGAAATCTCGGAGATCAAGACTGTCGGAAAATTTATTAACTCCGATGATTCCAAGGGTAAAATGGGAAACGAAGTTGTTGTTGTTGTCTCCGCCTCAAGCAAAGAAGCGACGAGTGGGTTTGATACTTTGTCGGTGGCTTCTAGCGGTGACGTTGGCTCTGAGGTAATGGGATGGGGAAGATGGTACAGCTTAAAAGATCTGGAGATTGCGACACGTGGCTTCTCCGATGAGAACATGATCGGTGAAGGAGGATACGGTGTCGTTTATAGAGCTGATTTCTCCGACGGTTCTGTCGCCGCCGTCAAGAATCTCCTTAACAACAAGTAATGTCTTTAAAGATTATTACTAATTTAGATTAGTTCATTTTTTTGAAATTTGGATCTTATCTGGTACTACTACATTAAATATTCATTGCCTCAATCTGACAAATTTCATTTACTCTATTTCACGGACTCCGTAATTCTTGGGTCAAGTCTTCATTGGTACTTACTACTTGGTTTTAAATATGCTTTTAATGTTGTCTTCTTCGTTGCTTTCAAACCCAAGAAAATGGCGAAACATTGATTTTTTATATTTCTCTGACAAGTGTTTAATTAGATAACACTTTCTCTGCATGAATTTATTTGAGTTTTTGACTTTAATATACCTTGAAATTCTTGAGTTCTGTATCGATTATTGGTCCAACTGTAACCATTTTATATCCTGAATTAGTAACTTAACATTTTAGAATATGAAGTAAATGTTTTTCCGACCATTGAACTATAGTATAATTACTGTTTTTTTTAGGTAGGTGTACTGAAGCTAAAAGAGTAAAACAAAAGGAAATATTAATTCCTTGTGCTTTGTTCTTTATTCTCTATTAATGCTTTCTTTAATCTTTTCCGTTTCTTTTGACCTCTATGATCTCTTTTGTTTTAGTTTGTCACCTTTTAGATGATGAGATGGTCTTCACTAGTATAAATCTTGCTGGAAAATGAGATACCATTGAACCATATAGCTTGCAAAGAATCTTCTCTGTTTGCTTTCTGGGATTGGTCACTTCTTTGTTGAATCTGGATTTGTTTAGCCAGAGTTCCATGGATTGATTTTATGGTTAAGAAAATGAATAAATCTTTCTATTTAGGTAGCAATATTACAGAAATCTATTATATTGATTGTTAGGTTGAGCAGATTCAGGGTTGTTGGTTGCTGCACAACCACTGGAAGTTTGATGCCATTTTTAAAAAATATAATATTTTTTTGGTCCTGAGGCATGGATGAAACTTTTTATCTTCTTGTTTACTCTTATAGTATTGTTTTATAAACAGTTTTTTAGATTTTAGTATAATAATTGAATCTGCTAAATGATGGTAAAATATAATCTTCTACAGGGGTCAGGCAGAGAAAGAGTTCAAAGTTGAAGTAGAAGCAATTGGGAAAGTAAGACATAAGAACTTGGTTGGTCTGATGGGATATTGTGCTGACAGTGCTCAAAGGTGCTAAAACAAACAAACTCAAATGAATTAGTAAACTCTAATCTGGAATTAATTTAACAATTAGTTATTTCTTTGTTCCTTGATTAGGATGCTTGTGTATGAATATATTGATAATGGAAACTTGGAGCAGTGGTTACACGGTGATGTAGGTCCGGTGAGTCCTCTTACGTGGGATATCCGCATGAAGATTGCCATTGGAACAGCGAAAGGGTGCAGTTTCTTTTGTTTTTCTTTCTTTCGTCTATTTGGTTGTCATTCTAGCTGTGATTGGACTGCTAAACCGTGCCATTTGATGAACAGATTAGCCTATTTACACGAAGGGCTTGAACCTAAGGTTGTGCACCGTGATGTGAAGTCTAGTAACATCTTGCTCGATAAGAAATGGAACGCGAAAGTGTCTGATTTCGGTTTGGCCAAGTTATTAGGATCTGAGACAAGCTATGTGACAACTCGTGTGATGGGAACTTTTGGGTATATAGAGACCTTCTCTTCTTTCAGTTATCAGACTCAAATTGTTTCTATACATATTATCTTCTTACACCATTTTAACTTCCTGCAGATATGTTTCACCGGAATATGCAAGTACGGGTATGCTCAATGAGTGTAGTGATGTCTACAGTTTCGGTGTTCTGCTCATGGAGATCATTACAGGAAGGAGCCCTGTCGATTATTCAAGACCGCCTGGCGAGGTAATCTCATACATTATACTGAAACTTTTAATTAACAATCATTTCCTTCCAAGAACAAATGCAATTAAATTTTTGTTGAACCATTTTCAGATGAACTTAGTGGATTGGTTCAAAGGAATGGTTGCTAGTAGACGTGGAGAAGAAGTTATAGACCCTAAAATAAAGATGTCACCTCCTCCAAGAGCTTTGAAAAGAGCTTTGCTTGTTTGTTTGCGTTGCATAGACCTTGACGCTAGTAAACGACCAAAGATGGGACAAATCATTCACATGCTTGAGGCTGAAGATTTTCCATTCCGTCCTGTGAGTATCAAAAAAGCTATAAGCGATTTGATCCTTTATGCAATTAACTGATTTTTAAGTCATGTGTTTCTCACAGGAACACAGATCAAACCAGGAAAGATTGAAGTGAGAAAGCTTCTAAGGCAAACAAGAATGTCTTGGGGAAGACCACACTTGAGAGTTGATGCTATTCGTTACACAGCCATATATTGATAGATGTTGTTTTTCATGTTTGTTCTTATATTGAGGAATTGTGATGCAAAAGATAAAATTGGAAAAGTGAGATTAGATATTATGAGGATGGAATTCAGATTTAAGGCTTGTAATTTGTAAATATCATATATATTGTATAATAAAACAGTGAACTCAAAGAAAGTTACATTTCTTCTCTTTTGGTTTGCTTGGCCATGCGAATTTCACGTATAGCATCATAAATTGGTTCATTCAATTTGTGCCTAAGCATTACACCGACCCGGACCAAACCAGAATTTGGTAATTTGTATTTTTCTTATAAATAACCGGATCGGCTCTGCTTTGAAAATTGATTGGTATTATGTTTAATTTGGGTTCATAACTGAACCTCTCCAACCGAAGTTATTAATGACCGGACTCGGATATATCGGATCCGGTTCGGGTCGAACACAAACACATGTGTCGGAATTAGGATCCGACAATCCACGACCACTCCACTAACCTGCGAATGGTAAAATTATCCAAGAAGGCCACGTGTCATCACATATTCTCCTGACTTCGCCATCATCATGAAACCCACATAGTCCCACGCAAAAAGGGAAAACAAAATCCATTCTTTAAAGAGAAATCGATTTCATCCAGATCTAAAATTCGACCTTTTGTTGATCGAAAAATGGAAGAGGATTTGATTAAGCGCCTTGAAGCTGCGGTTACGAGGCTTGAAGGGATCTCAAGCTACGGAGGAGGAGGAGTTGTTTCTCTTTCTCGTGGAGGAGATTTCTCCTCCGGCGCCGGAACCGATGTCGCGTCGTCTGATCCATCGATTCTTGCTTATGAAGATCTGATTTCTCAATGCGTTGGTAGGGCTCTGAGTGCGGCTGAGAAAATCGGTGGACCTGTTCTAGATGTGACGAAGATTGTCGCCGAAGCTTTTGCTTCGCAAAAGGAGCTGCTTGTTCGCATCAAGCAAACTCAGGTAAAGTTTTTGAATTTTGGTGTTCTCGATCAATTCGTTTTGGTGCGTCGTTGTGGATTGGATTTTGATTTTGTCGGGATTTGAACAGAAGCCTGACCTCGCTGGATTGGCTGGATTCCTAAAGCCGTTGAATGATGTTACAATGAAAGCTAATGCAATGACTGAAGGAAAAAGGTCGGATTTTTTCAATCACTTGAAGGCTGCTTCCGATAGTTTATCTGCATTGGCTTGGATTGCTTTCACTGGAAAAGATTGTGGTAAGCAAAGCCATCATCATGTTGGAAAAGATTCTGACTTTATGCATTTTATGATGTAAATTTTCTTTCTTTGTGTTTTTTTTCCTGCAAGGTATGAGTATGCCAATAGCTCATGTGGAAGAAAGTTGGCAAATGGCTGAGTTTTACAACAATAAGGTGCTAATCTTCAACCTCTCTATGCTTTCATATGTTATGATGTTAGGAGCTTATGGAAAACAATAGAGAACGAGTACTTTATAGTTGCTTGTTCAGGTTGCACATTGTTAATTCTGTGATCTCCGTGTTCTTCTTCAGGTTCTGGTGGAGTATCGTAACAAAGACGCAGATCATGTGGAATGGGCTAAAGCCTTAAAAGAACTTTACTTACCTGGTTTAAGGGAATATGTCAAAAGTCATTACCCCTTGGGACCTGTATGGAATGCATCAGGGAAACCTGCTAGTGCTCCTGCAAAGGCTCCACCTGGTGCTCCTGCAAAGGCTCCACCTGGTGCTCCTGCAAAGGCTCCACCTGGTGCTCCTGCTCCTCCACCAGCACCCCTCTTCAGTTCTGAATCTTCAAAGCCATCATCATCGTCAAACCAAAAACAAGGGATGTCTGCTGTTTTCCAGCAGCTCAGCTCGGGTGCTGTGACCTCAGGTAGGTTTGAAGTTGTATGTCGTCATATTTCTGGTGCAGTGTCTATATATTTGGAATGTGATTCATAAGTAGCTTTTCTCGTTCTTTGTTTTCCAGGTCTTAGAAAAGTGACGGATGATATGAAGACAAAGAACCGTGCTGATAGATCTGGAGCTGTTAGTGCCGTTGAGAAGGAAACTCGTACCAGTAAACCGGCCTTTTCAAAAACTGGACCACCGAAAATGGAACTTCAAATGGGTCGCAAGTGGGTTTTACTAAGAATAACTATATGGTACAAAACTATGATCAAAATGCTATAAAACTGATTGTTGGATTCTACTATTAGGTGGGCTGTTGAGAACCAAATTGGGAAGAAGGACTTGGTTATCAGCGAGTGTGATTCCAAACAGTCTGTGTACATATTTGGTTGCAAAGATTCTGTCTTGCAGATACAAGGTAACTTTGCGCCATTCCATTCTCACTGTGAAAGTTGGATATCTACTCAAAAATCTTTTGAGGCACTTACTGTTGTTGCCTAATCTGTAGGAAAAGTGAATAACATCACCATTGACAAATGCACCAAAATGGGTGTTGTTTTCACGGTGAGTGGAATAATACTGTTTCTTTTACATTCATACAGTATACATTTACGTGATTTCTAATAAAGTAAAATATAATATGTCTGTATAGGATGTTGTTGCTGCATTTGAGATTGTGAACTGCACCAACGTAGAAGTGCAATGTCAGGTTTGTGTTCTATATAATCTATAAGCTTTTGCAGATGTATCTGCTTAAGGACCATCTATTTTACTTCTCAAACTTATGATGTAGCTCTAACCATATGCAACTCTTTTTCGAGACACTGATTGCTCTTGCTTTGTCGGATCTAGGGTTCAGCTCCCACAGTTTCTGTGGACAACACAACTGGCTGTCAGTTATATCTAAACAAAGACTCATTAGAAACAGCTATAACAACAGCCAAATCCAGTGAGATCAATGTAATGGTGCCCGGTGCTACCCCTGATGGAGATTGGGTATGACTTTCCTTCCTTTGTAACCATGAAAACGTTTTGGTTTTCTTATTTATTCACCAAGCAACAAAATACCTCTGGAGTCGGTTACTGTAGGTTGATACCAAAATTCAGAAGTCATTGGTTAAAAGCGCATTGTAACCAAGAAACTCATGTGTGTGACACTATTCATTGAAGGAATCATTCTCATATTGTTTTGTTACAACATTGTAGGTGGAACATGCGCTGCCTCAACAGTACAATCATGTGTTTACTGAAGGGAAGTTTGAGACAACACCGGTCTCGCATTCAGGTGCCTAAGCAAAGGAGAAACTATTTTCACTCTGGATTGTCCTTGAATATCAGGCCTTTTTTATACTCATATACTTGGTTTCTTAAGATTATAATAGAGGAGAGAATATGTTTGTTTGTTTGTTGTTTTTTTCTTTCTTTCTCTCTTTCCCCCAATTTTGGGTTTGGAGGTTGTGGCTTTTTATTTATTTATGTGATCTGATCAGCTTGTGTCTTGTTCGTCCTTGGGGTTTTGGTTTTGGATTTGGATTCGGGTTTCTCGTTTCTTTTTTTACTTGTGGGCTTGTCCCGAGTCGTTGCTGATGACATTGTTCACAAATCATGGATAGAAAAAGTTGCAATCCTATTTTTGGAATATGCAATTTTTTATTTAACCTTTTTGTTGTTGTTTTGTTTTGTATATGATGTGACCGTGGCTTAATAATCTTGAGGAATGTAGAAATGATTTGAAAAATGAGAATAGAAGTTTTAGTCAGTCAATATAATAATTGTGAGTTGTACATTGTGGAATCACCAAGCTAAAATTATTGGTGGTTGTGGATTAAACTTTGAAGAATGTGTTAACTTGTACTATTGAGAAATAGAATGGAAAAGGGTAATAATGTCATCCGCTTTCATGAAAAATGAAATTTATTTGTATGAAATTTAGTTATTTTTCTGCATTTACATGAACCTCATAGCTTAAGCTCATACATTTAGCATCCCATTCTCTTCACCTACGAGATATCAATAAATTTTCCAACCTTTTTTTGTACTTGTGAGTCCTAAGTCCTAACTAATTTGATCATTTTTGCAACCATTTTTGCAAACAGTTTGGACAAAACACTTGTGTCGAATGGTAATTTTTTATACATTGAGTTCAAACCTTAAAACTTGGTTTTCGTTTCTCCAATTTGACTGCCTTAAGTTTTCTCTGCAAAAGTATTCTCTCCGGAATTAGCCCTTTTCATAATACAATAATAGAGATGACGAAAAAATCAAAAGTATAATATTACAAAACAAAGACCGAAACGAAGACTTTCGCTCAAGACTAACAACAGAAGTCAACACGTGTAGTGTGGAAAAACGAGCACAAACGTGTCTTTGGAGTTAGTATATAACCGTTACAGTAAAAACCTCTTCGTTAAGTAACAACAACACAATTCTCAAATCTCTCTCTCTCACCATCAATGGCTCTCTCCATCTCCATCTCCATCTCCATCTCTCTCCTCCTCATCTTCCTCTCTCACTTCCCCTCCTCACGTAAGTATCTTCTAGTTCTTCGCCACGACGTCGTTTCTTCTTTCTTCATCTAACCTTTTTCCTCTCTTCCTCTGTTTTTTTTTTTGTTACCGACAGATGCAGAGCCTTTCATCGGAGTTAACTACGGCCAAGTCGCCGACAATCTCCCTCCTCCTTCAGAAACCGCCAAGCTCCTCCAATCCACTTCTATCCAGAAAGTTCGACTCTACGGCGCCGATCCCGCCATCATCAAAGCTTTGGCCGGAACAGGGGTTGGTATCGTCATCGGCGCTGCTAACGGCGACGTTCCTTCTTTCGCCTCCGATCCCAACGCCGCCACTCAATGGATCAACTCCAATGTCCTTCCTTTTTATCCCGCTTCCAAAATCATCCTCATCACCGTCGGCAACGAGGTCCGTCATAATTCAGTTGTAAAAGTTTAAACCTTTCTCGAGAAAATTCCCTTAAATCTCCTCCGATCGTTGCAGATTCTGATGTCGAACGATCCAAATCTGGTGAATCAGCTACTTCCGGCGATGCAAAATGTCCAAAAAGCCCTTGAGGCGGTGTCTCTCGGCGGGAAAATCAAGGTCTCGACGGTGCACTCGATGACGGTGCTCGGTAGTTCAGACCCGCCATCGACCGGTTCATTTGCGCCCGGTTATCAAACCGGTTTAAAAGGAATTTTGCAATTTCTAAGCGACACTGGTTCACCTTTTGCTATTAATCCGTACCCGTTCTTCGCGTACCAAAGTGATCCGAGACCCGAAACGCTGTCGTTTTGCCTTTTCCAGCCTAACGCCGGACGGGTCGACTCCAAAACCGGAATCAAGTACACGAACATGTTCGATGCTCAGGTACATTAATTACAGTTGGCTCCACGCTGTCAAAAAAACTAATCAATTCATTTGTGTTTGGTAGTAACTAATTAAACTTTAGCAGAGTAGCTAATCTCTTGTTATGAATTTGGTGGTTCAAATTAGACGTTTAAAAGCATAGTTTATCTGGGTCGGTTAGTTTCTAGTAATTTATTGTTATGACACAAAAGATCAGAATAAATGAATAATAATACTTGGCAATATTCACGTGGCCGAATCTATAGTTTGAACTTTCGGTATTTTATATGTTATTTCAAAATTTCTTTACACTAGATTGTAGCAAGGAACTTGTTCTGTCACTACTTTTTCATTTAGAAGGAATCTATATCCCTATTATATAGTACAAAAGACAGTTGGTCACGTATGTGTCTGAATTACACTTTCTTTCACATACACAATCTATAAAGTATGAATTCTGCTTAATAGTATTTGGTACTAGTAATACTTATTTTTCAATCCATTTGATGATGATGTTAATAATTATCTTCTCAGGGAAGTATGCGTGAGATGACATGTCACTCGTTTACTCATTGTCTGACAGACTGGATTCGCACTAGTTATTTTAGAGGTTTCTTGAAACATATGTTTTGTTTGTATGCACTAGTCATCATTAATTCCACGTAAGCAGCGTCGACTAAAATCAATAAAACAAACGAAATTAAAAAATGGTGACGTTTCAGGTCCTATTTATGGCTTACTAACAAAGTAGTAGTAGAAGAAGTCTTCGTTCATTGTCGTTGCTTCCAGCACAAGTTACTGTGTAAACTCCTTTCATTATTTCTTAGGTTGATGCGGTTCACTCGGCTTTGAAATCGATGGGATTCGAAAAGGTTGAGATTGTGGTGGCGGAAACAGGTTGGGCGTCAAGAGGGGACGCTAACGAGGTTGGAGCAAGCGTGGATAACGCCAAAGCTTACAACGGAAACCTAATAGCTCATCTAAGGTCTATGGTTGGCACACCCCTCATGCCTGGAAAACCTGTTGACACTTACCTTTTCGCACTGTATGATGAGAATCTAAAGCCTGGACCTTCTTCAGAACGGGCTTTCGGGCTTTTCAAAACTGATCTTTCCATGGTCTACGATGTAGGCCTTGCCAAGAGTAGCAGTAGTAGTCAGGTTAGATACTAGAAGTTGTGTTTTTTATTTGGAAAAAAGTAATCTATTATAACATGCATGTAAACGCAAATGCGGATAAATAACAGGGTTTTAATTTGTGAGGTTATGTTTTGATCATAAAATTAGACACCATCAGGAAAAGTGACATCGTCGGGGTGGTGTGTACCGAAGAAGGGTGCCACAAATGAGGAGTTACAGGCAAGCTTGGATTGGGCGTGCGGACAAGGAATAGATTGTGGTGCGATACAGCCAGGAGGGGCTTGTTTCGAGCCAAACAATGTGGCCTCTCACGCAGCCTATGCCATGAATATGTATTATCAGAAATCTCCTAAGCAGCCTACAGATTGCGATTTCTCTAAAACCGCAACAGTCACTTCCCAAAACCCTAGTAAGTTTTCTCTCCCGTTACTTTCACACCCTACCAATAATAGTTTCACCTTAGTAACTTAGTATAAAAAGTTGTAACAAAGACCTAGTGATTGAAGATTGCTTTTGTTTGTTGAAGGCAATGATCAATTCTCTTCTACTATGTTTTATTGTAGGCCTTGTAAACGCTTTAATTGACCAAAGAATCGGTTTTCTACATGCTTTAGTACTAGTTATAAAAAATATGAAAAGACCACATTGAGTATACTTATTTTTCTTATAGTATCAACCATTGAACAATAGCAAAAATTTATTATACTAATTGGGTTTCCTTAATTATCTTGAATCTGAATTTGATAGGTTACAACAGTTGCGTATATCCGGGAGGAGGAGGAGGAGCAGCAGGAAGTAAAGCAGTAATGAACAAGTATGTGAGCTCAGACAAAGTAGAGAAGAAGAATGGAGCAATAGAACCAAATGTCTCTTCTTCTCTATCTTTTCTACTCATCTTTTTGTCCCTAATCTTCCATGTATAATAATGTAAATGGCTCGAGTAGCTCTTGGAGGTAAGTAATCAATTAATTACGCCTAGTTCTCGATTTCCTCTGTATTACTGTGATCAAGTTTGTTATTAGTTTTATAATGGTTAGTGGTCACACACATTCTATAATAAAAGTGTACTATTTTTTTTTGTTTTACAACATAATAAAATTGTATTCTATACGCACATTCAATAATAAAAATTATATATATAAAAGTTGGCCAACTCTCTCCATCCTTCCGCCACGTCAGCAGTGGAGAGAGTGCCATGTGTCACAACATATTACATTTATTATTTTATTTTATTTAATTAAGAATTTAAATCATGCATTAATTATTCTTTATATGAAAATTGACATATTTAACTTATTAATTAAGTAAATTCAATTTAATTAGTTACAAAAGTATATCAAACTCATATAGAAATTAAATTATTTAAATTGAGCTGTATAAATTGTATACACTTATGTGTAAACTTAAAATCAATAGAATTTTAATTAAATTTTAGATTTATTAACGTATAAAAATAAATAATATGATATTAGTATTTATTTCATGTTTTCATATACTATAATATATATAGGATTAGTGCCCATGAATTAAAATACATAAATTAGAATGAATACATAAATTAAATTATTTTAAAGATAACCAAATATATAACAATGTAATTAAACATAAATTAAAATACAAAACATAGAATGAATTATTTACTTGAGAGTTAAAGGAATATAACAAAATGATTATTAGAAGAAAAAAAACACCAAAAGGATTATGTATCAAATTAATTCAATCGATGTAAATAGTTATAACTAACAAATTATGGATGGAAAAACCCGCACGTTGTGCGGGTATTAGCCTAGTAGTTTGTAACGGCTATTTCGTGTGTGTGTGTGGGGGGGCATTTCGGTTTAACTATTTTTTATTATGTTGAGAGCAAAGAAGCAGACATTGCAAAATAACATAAAAAATAGTTCAGAGAATTGGGCCTGTTTAAAGTAATGGGCTTATTTATAGTATTGTAGACTCAAGTCAAACTTCATATTCTCTCCTCGTCGAATCTGTGGGAATGATCAAGGGTTTCCGGTCGTCGTCGAATTTGGGGGAATGCTTTCACTCCTCCTCAGCTCCTCTTCTCGTCAAGGGATTCTAGTCGGTAGATCAATTTGGGCTTGTGGCTTCTACTGATGGGCCTGTTCCTACAAAGCTAATCTTTGTGGTGTAGACTTCTTTTGGTTTCTTACTGGACCTCGGATAAATTTTCCTAAATTCTTATATATGTGTCCCTCTTAAATTATTACTACATTTTAGTAATGTATAATTTCAGAAATAGAAAATATATTTGAGTTGAACCTTGATAATTGGGCCTTACTGTAATATTGACCCGGTTTAGCTTGGTTTACTCCACTGAATTTACCTTTTCTGAAAAGGAATTGTCGAAAACCTAGTTCTTTTTTTCCTTTGTTAAAGAAAAACTATTTCCTTCTTAAAAAAGGAATTGTTGATCTCACCGACTCTAGGGCTTATAAATAAATAGACGCATAGGTTCATAACCTCATCACCTTAAACACAATTCAATCGCTCTCTAAATTCTTTTATCTTTCATCAAATTGCTTCACAGAGAAAAAACCTACTCCACAAAGAACAAACAATGTCGTCGACGATGATCGTGTTGATGAGCTCCGATGGTCAGTCGTTTGAGGTGGAAGAAGCGGTAGCAATCCAATCTCAGACCATAGCACATATGGTTGAAGACGATTGCGCCGCTAATGGAATCCCTCTTGCAAACGTGACAAGCAAGACTCTTGCGAAAGTGATTGAGTACTGCAAGAAGCACCACGTCGATGAGGCTAACCCTATCTCTGAAGATGAACTCAAGAAGTGGGACACGGAGTTCATGGAAACCGATCAATCCACGATATTTGATCTCATTCTTGCTGCGAATTACCTAAACATCAAAAGCTTGCTTGATCTCACATGTCAAACTATTGCGGATATGATCAAAGGCAAGAATCCAGAGGAGATTCGTACACTTTTCAACATTAAGAATGATTTTACACCTGAGGAGGAAGAAGAGGTTCGTAGGGAGAATCAATGGGCTTTTGAATGATCGGATGAATCAAAAACCTAACTAGCTTTCTTTTTCTTTCTTTCGTTGGTGTGTTTTTTTTCAACTTCTTGATCAATAATGTAGATGATGATCACTTCGTCTACTTTTTTTTATAATGATTTGTGTTTCTTTTTATGATTTCAAGGATTTAATCTAATAATTTGTTTTTTTTTTTAATGATTTATGTTTCTTTTAATTTGTTTGCTCTTGAGATAATCTTTTGTTGGATACTACTAAAATATGTTTAACCAATTTTCATAGAATGATTATATGAAACTAGCGAAATTGTTTCAGCAGCAACAAGTGCTTGTAGCCAATTCGGAATAACATAATCTATAAGACGAAATAAACGTAGAAAAACAAGTAACATGTTTATCTTTTTTGTATATAAATAAATCAAGTTTCTTAAAAGAAAATCCTACATCAATTTATTTTAATTTGCAGCATAACGATATATCAATCACAAATATAAAACAATGTATAGCTAAACATCCTACAAATTCATTCTATCGAATCGAAATATAATCTCATAGCTCGAAAACGACGTCGTTTAATCATAGTGAGTGGGGTCCACATTAATGGGGAACAGTCAATGTCTATTGACTCTCTCTCTCTCTCTTCTCGCTCTATGTTCTCTATCTAGTCTCAGGTCAGAGAGCCATCATCAACATTCAACAAGAGAGCCGTGTTTGTTTGTGTCTGACTGATTCTTCTTCTCAAGCTCCTCTTTTCCCACGTAATTCCCCCAAATCCTCTCTTTCTAGGGTTCGATCTCCCTCTCTCAATCATGAACCTTCTTCTCTTCTAGACCCGCAAAGTTTCCCCTTTTTCTTTGATCGGCGACGGAGAAGCCTAAGTCTGATCCCGGAATGTCTGTCTCCGAGCTCAAAGAACGTCACGCCGTCGCTACGGAGACCGTTAATAACCTCCGTGACCAGCTTAGACAGAGACGCCTCCAGCTCCTCGATACCGATGGTTTGTGGATTTTTTTCCGTCTCTCTTCTTCTCTCGTCTTCTTCTTTAATTAGGATTGAATTTTGGCAGTGGCGAGGTATTCGGCGGCGCAAGGACGTACTCGGGTGAGTTTCGGAGCGACGGATCTGGTTTGTTGTCGTACTCTTCAGGGACACACCGGAAAGGTGACTCAAAGTTTCCATCTTTTTTCTCTATCTTACAAATGTGAAATATTTAGTAGCTTTCCCGTATGATTGACGAATTGGGGTTGCAAAGATATGTTCTTTATCCTTCAAGTATGCTTCTTTATGGATTGTTTTATAGCTTGTGATGAAAAGCTTCCATTTTGGAGAATTTTGGGTTGTATCTAGTTTGTTATTTAGTTGGTGGTGTCTATAAGATGTTACCAGTTATCATATTTGAGGACTGTAGAGGGATTTGGTTAAGATCCTACGGAAATGTAGCTACAGAAAAGTTGGTTGTGAATGTTAGCTGATACTACTGATACAAAATTCAGATGAGAGCTAGATTGTTGTAGATTTAACTTGTGGGATTTGCAGGTTTATTCATTGGATTGGACACCGGAGAGGAACCGTATTGTCAGTGCATCTCAAGATGGGAGATTAATCGTGTGGAATGCTCTAACGAGTCAGAAAACTCATGCTATTAAACTCCCTTGTGCATGGGTTATGACATGTGCTTTCTCTCCAAATGGTCAGTCGGTTGCGTGTGGTGGATTAGACAGTGTATGTTCTATCTTTAGCCTTAGCTCGACCGCAGACAAGGACGGAACTGTACCGGTTTCAAGAATGCTCACTGGTCACAGGGGATATGTTTCGTGCTGTCAGTATGTCCCAAACGAGGATGCTCACCTAATCACCAGTTCAGGTGATCAAACATGTATCTTATGGGATGTGACTACTGGCCTCAAAACTTCTGTTTTTGGTGGTGAATTTCAGTCTGGACATACTGCTGATGTACTAAGGTATGGATGTTGGTGTCATCTGCTTGACTCATTGGCATATTTGTTTGTTTACTAAAGTAGCATTTGTTTGAAAACCTACTTAATCCTCTAGTACTATACCATTTGAATCGAGTGTTGGAATCAACTTATAGGTTTGGTCTTATAGAATAGAAACGCTTATTTGACTTGTATATAAAAGCTAGCATGTATGATATATTGCATGTCGGTAAAACTAATGCACTCTTATACGGTGATTGTGCCTCATCCTTGCAGTGTCTCAATCAGTGGATCAAACCCAAATTGGTTCATATCTGGTTCATGCGATTCCACAGCCCGGTTGTGGGACACTCGTGCTGCAAGCCGAGCAGTGCGTACCTTTCATGGGCACGAGGGAGATGTTAATACGGTCAAGTTCTTTCCGGATGGGTATAGATTTGGGACTGGATCAGACGATGGCACATGCAGGTTGTATGACATAAGGACTGGTCACCAACTCCAGGTGTATCAGCCACATGGTGATGGTGAGAACGTACCTGTCACCTCCATTGCATTCTCTGTCTCAGGGAGACTTCTTTTCGCTGGCTATGCCAGCAACAACACTTGCTACGTTTGGGATACTCTCTTGGGAGAGGTAAGCAATTAGTATTTAGAGTAATGAGCGGTGAGAGTTGTTTTCGCTCATTGTAAGGTTTATGATTGAAGCGTGGGGCGTTTTCTTGCAGGTTGTATTGGATTTGGGATTACAGCAGGATTCACACAAGAATCGGATAAGCTGTTTGGGGTTGTCAGCAGATGGAAGTGCCTTGTGTACAGGAAGTTGGGATTCAAATCTAAAGGTTAGTGTCTCTGCTTATCATATCATGTTATGTTTGTAAGGAAATTCGAGGATTTACGAATATTCGTTGAATTTACACAGATATGGGCGTTTGGAGGGCACAGGAGAGTGATTTGAAGAAGATTAACAAAGGTAGGAGTCATGTCTCCAGTTGTGGTGGTGGTTGGTTAGTATATTCTGTAATTGGGAAGTAAGGTCGCGATATGTGGAAGAACGGAAGGTGTTTGGTTTGAAATAGTGGAGTGGTTAGAAGGATCAAACTTCCCTTGTTGTTAAGTGTGTGCTTTGATTTATTTGTTCTTCAGTCTCCTTTTTACTAAACTCCTAAACACGCTACTCAATGTGAATTCTGTCTGTAATCAATTGTGCTCACCAGTCTCTACTATTATCTCTTGAAATTGAACGCAGACCATAAAACTCTACAAATTGGTTAGCTGGATTGGTCCGTTTCTCAACTTAGGACTGAAATTCCTTCTGTCCTTTTGAAGATAGTTCAGAAATTTACCTTATTTGCTTACGGTACTGGTTTTGTTTTAAATCCGAGCAATGTAGATTCCCAACTTCTTTATGTATTCACTTGGCGAGAAAACGGGTAATGACAAAATTCAGCAATGAAAAATCAAAAAGCACCGTCAAATAATAAAACGAAAACTTCCATAAGTGTATTTGACAGTAATAATGCAAGGAAAAGAGAAATAAAAAATACTATACTATTTATAATAGTTGATGTATTTTGAGGTTGGGTAAGTGGGTATCTTAGCAGGAGGAATAGTAACACTCTTTTGATATTGAAGAAACGCGAGGGGTTTAGCCGCTGGCAACAATCTCGTGAATGGCCTCGGCTACAGAAACGTCCTCAGCTCTAACTGTCAGCTTCATTGCAATGTCCTTTGAGCTGTCCATTCCAAACTGTGCCCTCACTAACACTTTCACGTTCCCTATGTACACACCTGACAATAGACACGTGTGTGACCTTGCATTGAGCGGAATTGTCTCCGTCCCCTGTCATTTGTATCTCCAATGTCAGTTTCAATTTCGGGAGCACAACAAATGACTTTATCAACAATAATCTTAGCCCTCAAGTCTATCAGTGGGTCAGTTTAGTAGTTTCTCTATCGAGTATGAGAAAATAGTGGAAGAGACTAACCTCACAAGTCTGCATGCCAAGAAGATCGATGACAGCTTTTACAGCTTCTCCCAAACTGTCTCTTTGGCCAAGGCCATATTCGTCGACGCGCTCATCTTCTTCATCCAAGCTTTCCCATGCATTCCTGAAATTGGAGACACCCACTTTCACCATGTAATCTCCAGCTACAACCTCAAGATCCTCTAGCTGGTATTCATCTTCTACTCCATCATCTTCGGCTTCACCTGTGCTTGGGTCAACCTGTTTTAACACATTTATAAAAGCAGACAATGTAGTCAAAAAGTTTTCTTTGTTTTCTGTGATTTGTTTGAGTCATTCTGGTACTCCTCTCCAAATGAGTCGTTGTTTATCAGAGTTCTCCACAAATTATTATGGGATCATTTTCAACCTTTAGCGCGTATGTAAATAAAAAGATGGAAGTGGATAGCCTATTCAACATGTACCTCCTTAACAACGAAAGTCAATGTGTTGGAGAACTTTCCAATAGCAGGGACCCCAGCTGGTTTCTCAAAAACCACAAAGGCTTGACCGGGTGAATCATAAGGAAGTGAGTTTAGGGCCTTTGAAGTTACTTCACTGAATTCCTCTGCTTCTGAAGCATCTACAATGACATTTACCTACAAACCCATGCTAAAATTAATGAAATGAGGAAAGAAGAGTAAGATACGCTTTACACTAATATTCTACACCAATGTTCAGTACCCTCTCCAACAACTGCTCTGGTATTGTGTTAGTGCAGTTGTACTGAAACACCACATGACTGTCAAAGATATGCTTAACAACATCGACGGCGTATTCTGTTTCTGCTTCAGTTAGCTCCACAGGTAAAGAGGACTGAAAAAGGAAGTACAAGTTTAAGCAAACAAGGGAAGCCATTAACATTAGAATGACACAGAAGCCAAATCAGCCCTAACCTTGAAAAGTTTTCCAAAGGCGGTAAACTCTGGAATAGATGAGAGAAGTTTTTCATAGCCATCAAAACCAGAAGCAGGTGCAGCTGGTGGCGCACCAAGACCAGTGGGCTTTTTACCCTGGGCTTTCTTCTCTGCAAGGGGCTGGGATTTAACTTCCTTAGGCACGGAGTTGATATCAAAAGCTTCTTCAGAGGGCTCCTGCAGGATCAAAGATATAAGATAACTGATGTCCTAAGAAGTACTGAAGAGAAGAAAACCGAGAAAGATAACTCACATAATTCTTCAGACTAGTTTCCATGTTGACCAGAGGAACCTCCAGGGAACCAAATAGGAAATCCTTGCTCTCTTTATCAGTGTCAACAGTACCATCACCACCAAGAACACTCAAATATAGGGTTGCCCTATCTCGGACCTTTAAGATAAAAATAGGTTGTAACTCATGATCAAGGAAGGAATCATCGAACAACTTGCATTGCATGCATCAGAAATATTCACAGAGGCAAACACAAGCATGCATGTTTAATGATGCAACGACTCAACTCAAGGGTAGACATACAGAAACAGCAATGCTTTTATAGACTAAGACTAGAAACGCACCTCATCATCACTGTCATAGATGCAACGCTTCAACAGAACAGTAATCCGGGGCTGTCGAGTATCCATTGATTATGCTCTTTATCATCAGTCAAAGA